AAAATTCTATCCAAACAGACTCTGTATGTGTTACTTCAGACTTAATACCGCTTTTTATGCAACAGTTCAAGCGATCTCGGACATACAATGCCACCCCACCCCCCTTCCCGATACTTCTATCTACTTGGAACAATTTAAAACCCTGATATGACATTCCGCAGGCATGTCCCGACTTTTTGAATTAAACCACGTCTCAGTTAAGGCAAATACATCAATGTTACCTGCACTAGCAACTAATCTCAACTCGTCCATCTTATCCTAGCACTACGGCAATTAGCATATTAAACATTAAAAGACTCTCCTTTCTCTTTCCCTTCCTGCCATTTCTGTTTTCTACAAAACCCTATTACTGTCCTTACACCCAAAGTCCCTGGCTTTTAAATATCTACCTCTTCTGTTAATTACTAGTTCCCCTAAAAAACCGTAATATTACTACACGGGGACTTCACGTTTTCCTGAAAAAACCCCCAACATAATATTCCTAGTTTAAAATCCTAACTGCTCCTCCATGCAGTTGCCGTGTACCACCCAGACCTAGATAAGTGAACCCCATCCCTGGCAACATGTCATTTTTCCATAAAAGGTCCCCGTTTTCAATGAATGTTCCGATTTTCCCTTTCAGTATTTGTCCACCCGCAATTTCACCAATTTCCCTGGACAACCATTCTTTCCAACTCCTCTCCTTGGCAAAATACCACATATGACAGGGTTCCCACCCTTACTCCTAATTATTTCTATTGCTGACCTATACCTGCTAATCAGGTCTTCACTCCTATGTCTGCCAACATCGTTGCCTCCAGCACTGAGACAGATATTAGGATTGCTCCCATTACCTCTCATGATGTCATCCAGACGGCTAACAATATCCTCTATCCCAGCCCCAGGAAAGCAAACTCTCTGTCTCCTACTCCTGTCCTTCAAGCAGAACGCCCTATCCATATACCTAACTTGGCTATCCCCAACAACAACAATATTCTTACCTTCCTTGGTGTCGTTCGTCGTGATGTTCCCAGTAGTCGACTCACATTCGTCGGGTAGCACTGAGAATGTATTAGATGTTTCCACAACAGTTTCCATGGCAGTCTCTTTCTTCTTCATCGTTTCTATCTTTCCATTCGTCTTCTTGATCGTCAACTTCGTTCCCTGCTGTCTAGCCACTGACCAGTTTCCCTTCTTGACCTGAGGACTCAAAACAGGAGGACTACTACGAATCTTCTTTTCCTCGGTCAGTCGCCGAATCTCCAACTTCGCTATCCTCAATTCTTCCTTAAGCTGTTGGTAAAGTTGCTCGATGGAGGGCATCTTGCTTCAATTCATAGAGAGCGCGCAAACAGGTCTTCACAGAGCTAAGTACACGTCAACACTGCTCAAAAGCCAACTCAATCAATTAAAATTTCAATAAAACAATAAAACTTCTACTGAAAGGCAAAGATGAATTAGTCAAACAATTTACTTCAACTAATCCATCTTTACCTTACATGTATGGACTAATAAAAACACACAAACCAGGGAATCCAGTCAGACCAATTATTAGCTCCATAGGGTCAGTTTTATATAAATTATCCAAATGGCTTGATATTTTGAGCCCTATTGTTGGCAAAATTTCTAACTTTAATGTTAAAAACAACATAGACTTGGTTGATAAATTAAGCTCCTTGACTGACTTAAATGATTTTAACATGGTTAGTTTTGATGTTACTTCCTTGTTTACGAAAGTTCCTGTTGATGATTTATTAAGTTTCTTATCTGAAGAACTCGTTAACTATGATTTACCATTGCCAGTTCCTACTATCATTAAACTTATTAAACTTTGCATTGTTGATGCAAAATTTGTATTTAATGATAAGTTTTACACTCAAAAGTTTGGTATGGCAATGGGAAATCCTCTTTCACCTGTTCTTAGTAACCTATACATGGAATTTTTTGAAACAAGGTTGCTTAACACAATCCTCCCTAATAGAGCTAAATGGTTCAGATATGTTGATGATATTTTGTGTCTTATGCCCAAAAATGTAGATATACACCCATTTCCTTGGAAAATTAAATAGCTTAGCCTATTCTATAAACTTTACTGTTGAGTTTGAAGAAAATAACTCATTGCCTTTTCTAGATGTTTTAATTATTAAGGGTAATAATGAATTCAAATTTAAAATTTACAGAAAACCTACAAATAACTGTTCCTATGTCCACTATTATTCCTCGCATCAAGATAGAGTCAAACTGTCTGTTTTTCTCATCAATATTTTTGAGAGCTTTACGAATTTGTAGTCCTGAGTTCATAGATGAGGAAATATCCAAAATTTATGAAATAGGTAATGATTTAAAATACACAAAAATGTAATTGATAAATCTTTTAAAGTTGCTAGAAATACTTTTTACAATCCAAAAAGGGACAACCAGCCTTATTCAACTAAAAATATGTTGGTTTCCCCTTACCATGAAAACTTGGTTGATATGCCTTCTCTTCTTAAGACTTTTAATATTAAAGTTGTATTCAAAATCTTGATACAGTAAAAAAACTTTTGATAAAGAATTCCCCCCAAAATGTGATGGATGTGTCTATAAGATTCCTTGTAAAATTTGCGATAAAGTTTATTACGGTCAAACTGGTAAAAATCTCGAACTAAGATTAAAACAACATAAATATAGCATTAGAACTGGACAAGATTCCAATGCTCTATTTATTCATGTAAGAGATTTTAACCATCCAATTGATTTTCAAAAAGTTGAGAAAGTAGTATCAAGCAAGTACATGGTCGACAGGAATATAATTGAATCTTGTTTCATAAAAAGCAGTTTTGACAATAATATGAATATTTCCTTTGGTTTATATAAATTAGATCCATTTATAATTAATAGAATTTGGGAAGAATTTAATAATACACTGGACAAATAATAATTTTTAAATTTTCTTGGGTAGAATAGTTTGTGGGTGAGTTGTGCAAAGGACCTATCCAAGTTGGGTCGGCGCGCGTCAAGTGTTTAACCGTTGTGGGATCTGATTGTGAGGTGCTGGCCAGACCCCTTATATAGCTTCCTTGGATGCTTTACTTTCATAGTTCCTTGATAATGTGAGTAGTCACGAATGCGCTTGGAATTTCTCTATTCTTTCAGAGTGGTTGTTTTGCATATATAATATATATATATTTATATATATTATATTATATATTATATATTATATTATATATATTATTATATTTATAATATATATAAATTTTTATATATATATATATTTATATTATATTTATTATAAAATATTTTTATTATATAATAATATATATATAATATATATATATAACTATTATATTATATAATATATATATTTTATATTTTTTATATATGGCTCTCTTGATAAAAGTGAGATGACTATCACAGTTCCGATAAACCTTAGAATGCAACATTTTCACCCGTCTTTACAATGCAGGTATTGTACGTGCTCATCTCCAAGACTCAAGTTTTGGCCCATTCCCTTAATAGAATCCATTCAGAATCCCCACTTTTCACAATACAAACACCACGTTGTCATAAAGCTTACCTGTCTCTATTTTTTTCGACCTAACATGCTTACATGTCTGTTAGATGATTCAGCCTTTAGCACTCATAACCTCCCTCCAACCCCTCCTGGGACAACCCCCCCTATACTTTCTTCCTCTCACCCAAGATATAAATGCTTTCTTAGTCATTCTGTTATGCTCCTTTCTCTCTAAATGCCCTGACCACCTAAACAACCCCTCCTCAACCCTCATGATTATACTCTAGGTAACCCGACATCATTTGATCTCCATGATCCTAATTCTCTGCATTATATTCATTCCACATGTCTCCCTCAAATCACTGCTTTCGGCCTCATTGTCGCTTCAATATTTAAAGCCTACACTTCACACCCATATAACAGTGTTAGTACCACTATACTCTGGTACATTTATGGATAAGATTCTTTGTCTCCACAGATGCCTTAGTGCACCTCTCTCATTTCTTTCACATGTCAGTTCTATACTTTATCTCATTTTTTACTGACCCATCTGCCGACAAGTCCACTCCTCAGTATTTGAACACATTTATTTCCTTCCTTCTCCCTCCCTCCCTCCCTCCAGTCTTTCATTGCTTGGATTTTTTAATACGATCTTCACAGTGCTCTTTCTCATGATCCTTATTAACTTCCTTCTTTTACATACCCTCCCAAATTCATCTACCAATCCTTACATCTTCTCCTAAGGATCTCCCAAAAGCACCATATCATCGGTAAATAAACAACTGTGACTACTCCTACTTAGTATTGAGTTCGTTATATTTTAATCACACTCCTTTTCATTCACTTCTTTTACAAACCCATATATAAATATGTTGAACAACTATGGTGACATCACACATCCCAGTCTTAAATTTATACTGGAAAATAATCCCTCCGTCTCTCTTAAATACCCTAAACTCAGCCTCACTATTCCCCAAGAAACGCTTTAGTGCTTTTAGCAACCTGTTGCCTGTCTCATACATTTGCAACATTTTTACATTGCTTCCTGAGTTATCTCTATTGCATAACTTTTCTAAATTCATAAATGCCATAAAAGTTGTTACTTTTTTCATAATAATGTTCACTTATATGTTTCAATGTTAAGAATTGGTTTATACAGCCAGTTTCTTATCCTGCATCTTGCTGGTTCCTCAACAATCTTGCTTTCACTCCTACACTTTACCTGACGCGTTCAACATGCTTATTTCCCTATAATTCGTACATATATAAAAATTATATACAGTAAAGTGCAACTGTCAAATATTATTTTCGAAAATTTTCTACTTCAGGGTAGGTTTCTTCAGTCGAATATAGAGGTAACAACAGAAACAATGAGAAATGATGTACTCAGTCCATCAACACTGAAGAGGTAGTTTTGAGGTCAGTCTCTCACCTGGAGAAGTGTTCACCTCCAGAGTCTTGAAAGCTGTGATTCAACGTCTCTAATTTTGTAAAAATAGTTAACAATAAATTGCTTTTGGTTTTACAGGGTGAGATAGAGATGTGGTGGCCCAACGGCTATGGTTCTCAGCCACTTTATAATATGACCATCCTGTGGACCGATACAAATCAATCTGAAACTTCCAGCAAGAGTATTCGTGTTGGATTCCGCACTGTCGAACTAAACCAGGATTTTGTTGATTCCAGTGACGAGACGAAAGGTATGTTACATTAATGATCAGTATTCAGAAAACACCATTCGTATTTACTCTAGGTTAGAGTAGCCTATTTAGTTACTCGTTATTTAAGGCTTGATTAGTATGATTCAAATAACGGTATATTACCTCATTAGACCCAGTACCATGAAGTGAACCACTGGTGCTACTCTAGCGTGCGGTCTACCAGCTATGGTTAGGTTAGGGTAGAATAGGTTAGCTTAGGTTAGCTTAGGTTAGGTTAGGTAAGGGTAGTTTAGGTTAGGTAAGACTTTAAAAAGGCAATGAACGACCGCACGCTAAAGTGTAAATGAGCTGGTGGACCGCACGATAAAGTATAAATGAGATGGTAGACCGCACGATAAAGTATAAATGAGCTGGTAGACCGCACGATAAAATATAAATGAGCTGCTAGACCGCACGATAAAGTATAAATGAGCTGCTAGACCGCACGATAAAGTGTAAATGAGCTGGTAGACCGCACGCTAAAGTATAAATGAGCTGGTAGACCGCACGATAAAGTATAAATGAGCTGGTAGACCGCACGATAAAGTGGCACTGAGCCATTATAATCGCCTGCACCGACAGACGTTAAACTATGAACAAAGTTAAAACTAATCATGATTTCTGCTGAGTATTCTCCACATTATCACCCCCACTTCCATCTCTGATGGTTTATCGTGAAATAATCTATCAAATATGTTAGTGATTCCATGTTTACTGTCAGCTTCTGCTGTGTCATCTTCGCTAAGATGTTGCTCAGAGTTGTCAAATATCTGTTATCTTTTCGATAGTCGGTCAGACTCTCAGTTCCCTTATTTTGGATCCTCCACAGGTACATGTACTCTACGTGTACCTTCCCAGAGCACTCTCAATCCCATGTACTCTCCCAGAGCAATCCACGCCCATCCTATACTCTCCCAGAACACTCCCACACCCATCCTATACTCTCCCAGAGCACTCCCACACCCACCCTATACTCTCCCAGAGCATTCCCACTCCCATACTATACTCTCCCAGAGCACTCCCACTCCCATCCTATACTCTTCCAGAGCACTCCCACTCCCATGTACTCTCCCAGAGCACTCCCACACCCATCCTATGCTCTCCCAGAACACTCCCACTCCCATCCTATACTCTCCCAGAGCACTCCCACACCCATCCTATACTCTCCCAGAGCACTCCCACTCCCATCCTATACTCTCCCAGAGCACTTCCACTACCATGTACTCTCCCAGAGCACTCCCACATCCATCCTATACTCTCCCAGAGCACTCCCACATCCATCCTATACTCTCCCAGAACACTCCCACACCCGTCCTATAGTCTCCCAGAGCACTCCTACTCCCACGTACTCTCCTAGAGTACTCCCACTCCCATGTACCCTCCCAGAGAACTCCCACACCCATTCTGTGCTCTCCCAGCTCACTCCCACTCCGATCCTTTACTCTCCCAGAGAGCTACAATACCATGGCTAAATACTACCATAGCTAAATACTACCATGTCTGCTAATACTACCATGGCTGTATAAATACTACCATTGCTGTTAATACTACTTTGACTGTATAGATACTTCCATGGCTGTAAATACTACCATGGCTGCAAGTACTACCATGGCTGTTAATACTACCATGGCTGTAAATACTACAATGGTTGTTAATATTACCATGGCTGTACATACTACCATGGCTGTTAATACTACCATGGCTGCCAATACTACCATGGCTTTATATACTACCATGGTTTTATATACTACCATGGCTTTATATACTACCATGACTGTCAGTACTACCATGGCTGTTAATACCACTATGGCTGTCAATACTACTCTCGCTGAAAATATTATCATGGCTGTTAATACTATCATGGCCGTACCTACCATGGCTGTTAATACTATCATGGCCGTACCTACCATGGCTGTTAATACTATCATGGCCGTACCTACCATGGCTGTTAATACTGTCATGGTTGTATCTACCATGGCTGTTAATACTGTCATGGTTGTATCTACCATGGCTGTTAATACTGTCATGGTTGTATCTACCATGGCTGTTAATAACTGTCATGGTTGTATCTACCATGGCTGTTAATACTGTCATGGTTGTATCTACCATGGCTGTTAATACTACTATGGCTGTAACTACCATGGCTGTTAATACTACCATGACTAACTACCATGGCTGTAACTACCATGGCTGTTAATACTACCATGACTGTAACTACCATGGCTGTTAATACTACCATGACTGTAACTACCATGACTGTAACTACCATGACTGTAACTACCATGACTGTAACTACCATGACTAACTACCATGAGTGTAAATATTACCATGGCTGCAGAAAGTCTGCTGTAATTAATTTTAATTAATACAAACACAAGAGATAAAATGTCTTCTTGTTAATTTTCTAATTTATAAGTTAGTTTGTTTATACAATATTTGTAAGTTAGTTTGTTTATACAATATTTGTAAGTTAGTTTGTTTATACAATATTTGTAGTTAGTTTGTTTATATAAATATTTGTAAGTTAGTTTGTTTATACAATATTTGTAAGTTAGTTTGTTTATACAATATTTGTAAGTTAGTTTGTTTATATAATATTTGTAAGTTAGTTTGTTTATATAATATTTGTAAGTTAGTTTGTTTATACAATATTTGTAAGTTAGTTTGTTTATACAATATTTGTAAGTTAGTTTGTTTATATAATATTTGTAAGTTAGTTTGTTTATACAATATTTGTAAGTTAGTTTGTTTATACAATATTTGTAAGTTAGTTTGTTTATACAATATTTGTAAGTTAGTTTGTTTATATAATATTTGTAAGTTAGTTTGTTTATACAATATTTGTAAGTTAGTTTGTTTATACAATATTTGTAAGTTAGTTTGTTTATACAATATTTGTAAGTTAGTTTGTTTATACAATATTTCTAAATGTTTTTAACACTTAAGTTTTGTTATAACTACATTTGTGTGTCGACACTTCCGGGTGCTGGTGAATAACGTTCAGGTGTAACTATCTCTGCAAGTCGACACTTCCGGGTGCTGGTGAACAATGTTCATGTGTAACTATCTCTGCAGGTCGACACTTCCGGGTGCTGGTGAACAATGTAACAATGTTCATGTGTAACTATCTCTGCAGGTCGACACTTCCGGGTGCTGGTGAACAATGTTCATGTGTAACTATCTCTGCAGGTCGACACTTCCGGGTGCTGGTGAACAATGTTCATGTGTAACTATCTCTGCAGGTCGACACTTCCGGGTGCTGGTGAACAATGTTCATGTGTAACTATCTCTGCAGGTCGACACTTCCGGGTGCTGGTGAACAATGTTCACGTGTAACTATCTCTGCAGGTCGACACTTCCAGGTGCTGGTGAACAATGTTCATGTGTAACTATCTCTGCAGGTCGACACTTCCGGGTGCTGGTGAACAATGTAACAATGTTCATGAAAGGCAGTAACTGGATACCGGCCCATGTGTTGCCAGAATCCGTCACTGTAGACTACACTCGCTACCTGCTACAAGCCGCCGCAGACACACACCAGAACTGTATACGTGTCTGGGGTGGAGGCATCTACGAGAGTGATGCATTTTATGAGGTAAGGCAGCCTAATGAAAAATTAGACACATGTGCAACATCTGGGTATCTATATCGTAGACGTTTCCCCATCCAGTGGCTTTATCAATACAAATTCAAGGACATAATTGGAAGACAGGAGAATTATAGACAAAAGATGAGGTAATCAGTCCCTCAACCTTGGAGCTGGTGCGAAGAGCATCGTAGTCGTGAAGATTCTGAAGTACAGGCAAGAAGGCTGGCGCTTATATACTGACTTCAGATGGAAGGGAACGGTTAGCAGACAAGAGCATAGTCATTGGTAGGCGGGATTTCCCAGTGGAAGTAGGTCATACCCAAGGGATGGGTTAGTGGTAGTAGTAGTAGTAGTAGTAGTAGTAGTAGTAGTAGTAGTAGTAGTAGTAGTGGTAGTGGTAGTGGTAGTGGTAGTAGTAGTAGTAGTAGCAGCGTGAAGAAGGTTATGTAGATGTCCCCTTCCATCTAAAGCCAGTATATAAGCGCCAGCCTTCTTGCCTGTGCTCCAGAATCTTCACGACTACGGTGCTCTTCACACCAACTCCAAGGCTGAGGGACTGATTACCTCATCTTCTGTATATAATTCTTCTGTCTTCCAGTTATGTTCTTGAGTTTATATTGATAAAGCCACTGGATGGCGAAACGTCTACAATAAAGATACTCAGATGTTGCACATGTGTCTAATTTTTCATGTTGTCGGTACTGTCTAACGTTCATGTACAAGGCAGATTAATGTTTATGGGCACGAATACAAAATTAGACATTTTTATTTCATACATTAATTATTTTTTAAATGTTTATGCATTACACTAGTTAGCCTACCACAGTGTACAACATAGTGATACCATAGTCCTTCGTGTGGTGAAAATATTGAAAGTGAAGTGTAGTGGTAGGTTGTAACCTCAATCACCTGGGATGTAAATAATTGTCAGCAGTCGCCATTATACCCACCACGCCAGTCAAATACGTTTTTTAGTAAACTTTTACACCAGTTAACCTACCTAAGAGATATTTAAAGAGCACCAGAAGCACAGTTGTGTTGGAGTTACAGTGTAGCGGTGCAGGAGACTGTTTGTAGAGGTTACATTAAACAGACTGTTACCAGATTTATAAAGGTCACGAGACAGGAGATACTTTTCACCAATTGATGGTCATGAAACTGTTATTATAAATCTTTCTGTACCCAACACTGGAAAAAACATCAACTATAATGAAAACCTGTCCACACTTTATCAATGCTCTCCAGCGAAGTACCAATAGAGTACATTGTTACGTTTGCCAAGAGTAGTGTCATGTTTCATGAGCAAGTATTTTTTGCATTTACCAACACTTATATTAAAACAAGAAACTGTTTTGGATCTACTGGAGAAACGGGATGGTGGGAGCATATTGTATGCGTATTAAAAGACAGAAACACTAACAAAAAAATGTCGTTTTTGGAGAATTTAACAGTTTTATAAGACCGTTGGGGGAAGTGAAGATAGTTTCCAGCTGTTGGTGTCTGCCCAGGTGCTGCCATGGACGCCAGTGCCTGTAGGGATCTAGATTCAGAAACACAAGACAGTGGCCCTGGTATTGAGGAAACAGGTACAGACCCAAACATACAAGACCCAGGAATACAAAATAGCACTTCAGCTGGCAGTGTCAAAAATGCGGATGATGGTGATACATTACCAGTAATGACTGGCGGTGGTACTGATGCTGGTACAGGTGCCGAAGACAGTGGGTAGTCAGAAAGAATTGCACTAGTAGGGAAACCAGCCTCAAAATATCATATGCAACGAAAATCACATTTGTGTTGATTCTGTGCCTGGGGTATCTCTAGGTATCGAATATCAGGAAAAACAAGTAGGAAATGCAATTTTGACCATAAAAAATGCCGCGACCAAAGTAGTGTGTCATTCCTCTTCCTGTAATGTGTTACTCATCAATCCCTGAAAGACAAAGCTACAACTCAAGCTGCGAGATACACCACCTGAAAGGGACCAGAAGGCGCTGATTCCACAAATCTTTGAAAACAAACCATGGTAGTTACAACCACTCAATAGATTTTTTAGTGCCAGGAATAAAAAAAACCTGGCAGGATATAACAAAAATACGTCGCCACCTCGGATCCTTACTGGAGGGGATACACAGTCAGTGGTCCTCACTCCAGAACAACACATATTAGTGCCAATGAATAAATCTCCCCCAAATAATCAGTACAACATTTGTTTTGGCAGATATACAGGGTCTAAAGTAGGGTTCCTCAGTGTGATCAGTATCGACCCCTAGGGCCGATGGGATATCGAAGGAGTCGATAAATGGCTGGGTGTCAAAAGGGGGTCAGTGCATGGTTGAAGCTGGTTTTAACCATGCAAATGCAATTCTAAGCAGATTTTTTTTATTAAACTATTATTATTATTATTATTATTATTATTATTATTCGTAGTACTATTAGCTTAAGTACTATTTATTAAATTCTTTTCATTTAGTAATATTTAGGAGTCAAAGAGCAATTTCAACCTTCATGGAAACGTCGATAAGCTGAAGAATTTGGGACCTCTGGTCTAAAGCCATCAACCAACAACAAAATACTTTTCATCAGCGGATTCCTCACAGAGTCATACGAAGGATCACTTTGACAACGAAGTATGGATACTAGAAAGAACAGGCAACAAGGGAAAAGTGGATGGCTTGTATGTCACAGAGTCGCTCATTTACTCAGAATTGTTAAACACCACAAATGATGTAGTTGAAGTTTTGGCAGTAAAGACTGAAAACCAAAACCTTATCATTGTGGTTGTATACAAGCCACCTGATACAATCCAATCCCAGCCCTAAATATCTTGTTGGTGAACGATGACATCTAAAATGAACGAATGTGGCAAACAATGTTATAGCGGAGATAATCCCAGAAGTCAGCTCAGATGAAAACTCACCCACACATGAGCTATTATATCTCTGCAACAAATTCCCCTTAAGCCAAGAAATAGTGGGGTCAACAAGAATGGAAAATACACCTGATCACATCACACTTTGATCACATCATAATCGAAGTATGCGCATGCGCAAGGCTCTTGACCAGCAAAATGAGATAAATTGCGAGGATGCCTTTACCAAATAATAATAATAACCATAGGGAGGTTAACATGGATCCCATGCTAACCTCCCTATGGTGTATAAATATAACTAGTTACATGAATCTTATTGTAGTCAGCTGTCTTAGTGGCTTACGAGCTGACCTGGAGTTTTACGACTCACTTGCCACGAGTTCAAGCTCCACCCGTTCTGTGGTTTGTTTGCAATCATGTCAGTACGATTTCGTGAGTCAAGAACAGAAAGTGTTTGCCCCTCTACACATCCTATTGTAAATCTGAGTTTATGTATAATTATTTTTTCACGTTTTGAAATTCAAAAGTAATTATAATTTTATTGTAATTCTATTAGATTTGTAACTAAAAAAAATGTTTCTGCAATCTTTGCAGATTGCTGATGAACTGGGTATTCTGATCTGGGAAGATTTTATGTTTGCATGCAGCATGTATCCTGTAAAGCAGGATTTCTTGGACTCGGTAAAAACAGAAGTAACTAGCCAAGTGCGGCGCTTACAGCATCACGCCAGCATCCTCCTCTGGGCCAGCAACAACGAAAATGAAGCTGCGCTTAGAGGAAATTGGTGAGTTTCTGATATGTGTTATTTAGCCTGACTTTCAACTCTAGTTCTCTGTGGTCGCTTGAGTTAGCTTTAAAGAAGTCTTTAAATCCTGGCTACAAGGACGCCACTCCTCAGGAAAAAGAACTCTTGTTTTTCTCTGTGGGAAACAGAAAAACTTATTCGTGAAAATTAAAAAGAGTGTGTTTAAATAACTTTTAAGGAAAATTAATATTTTTATTAAATAAACCAGAAAAGGAAGAACATGTATGTCAGTATTACAGTGACAATATAATAAGTGTAACTGGAGTTTGGCAAGTGCACCGAGGTTATGAGTTACGAAGGTTGACCTGGAGGTGGAGACACCAAGGTCGTTCACCGAGGTTATGAGTTACGAAGGTTGACCTGGAGGTGGAGACACCAAGGTCGTTCACCGAGGTTATGAGTTACGAAGGTTGACCTGGAGGTGGAGACACCAAGGTCGTTCACCGAGTTATGAGTTACGAAGGTTGACTGGAGGTGGAGACACCAAGGTCGTTCACCAAGGTTATGAGTTACGAAGGTTGACCTGGAGGTGGAGACACCAAGGTCGTTCACCGAGGTTATGAGTTACGAAGGTTGACCTGGAGGTGGAGACACCAAGGTCGTTCACCAAGGTTATGAGTTACGAAGGTTGACCTGGAGGTGGAGACACCAAGGTCGTTCACCGAGGTTATGAGTTACGAAGGTTGACCTGGAGGTGGAGACACCAAGGTCGTTCACGAGGTTATGAGTTACGAAGGTTGACCTGGAGGTGGAGACACCAAGGTCGTTCACCGAGGTTATGAGTTACGAAGGTTGACCTGGAGGTGGAGACACCAAGGTCGTTCACCGAGGTTATGAGTTATGAAGGTTGACCTGGAGGTGGAGACACCAAGGTCATTCACCGAGGTTATGAGTTATGAAGGTTGACCTGGAGGTGGAGACACCAAGGTCGTTCACCGAGGTTATGAGTTACGAAGGTTGACCTGGAGGTGGAGACACCAAGGTCGTTCACCGAGGTTATGAGTTATGAAGGTTGACCTGGAGGTGGAGACACCAAGGTCGTTCACCGAGGTTATGAGTTACGAAGGTTGACGTGGAGGTGGAGACACCAAGGTCGTTCACCGAGGTTATGAGTTACGAAGGTTGACGTGGAGGTGGAGACACCAAGGTCGTTCACCGAGGTTATGAGTTACGAAGGTTGACCTGGAGGTGGAGACACCAAGGTCGTTCACCGAGGTTATGAGTTATGAAGGTTGACCTGGAGGTGGAGACACCAAGGTCGTTCACCGAGGTTATGAGTTATGAAGGTTGACCTGGAGGTGGAGACACCAAGGTCGTTCACCGAGGTTATGAGTTATGAAGGTTGACCTGGAGGTGGAGACACCAAGGTCGTTCACCGGGGTTTATGAGTTACGAAGGTTGACGTGGAGGTGGAGACACCAAGGTCGTTCACCGAGGTTATGAGTTATGAAGGTTGACCTGGAGGTGGAGACACCAAGGTCGTTCACCGAGGTTATGAGTTACGAAGGTTGACGTGGAGGTGGAGACACCAAGGTCGTTCACATGCTTCCTTGTCACATGCATGTGATGAATTGTGAGGAAGTTTTAGATGCCACCGTAAAGTCTGAACATCTCCAAAGAGATAGGTTCAGATTCCTTTCAAAAAGTCTACGATGAAATCATGTCTGTAGAAAAAATAGATTTTTTAAAAAATCCCGTTCCCGTCCAGCTGTCTCCATGAAGGTAGGACTGTCAGAAAGCAAAATATTAAAATACATATAGCTGAAGGCCAAGGCATGATAAAATTAATACAGTAAGAAATCTACTTGGAGCCTTCAATACAAAAAAAAAAAATCCCAACATCGTAAGAATAATGCATATGTGGACTGCTGGGCGGGTGAAGGTGAAGTAACGTAACTCGCTTCCCCAGAGGAAAGAAAAAGTGACAAGAATAAAAGAGAAAGCACTAAAATAAAAGATTAAAGACGGCAGATGACGACACATAAATTAAGAGAATTCCCTCACCTGATGACGTAATATACTGTTCCTCTCTCGAGAGAGAAAAAAGAACCAAAATATCTGACTAAAGACACACAAAACGTACTTATATCTAACCAGTTTCTTTGCAATATTTATAGATAGGATTCTGAAAGAAGTGATTAGTAGGGTGTTGGGGAGAGGTGTGGTATTAAAAGTTAATGAATCCGATTCAAAGTGGGCACTTTCACATTTGGTTTTTGCTGATGACGAAGTACTTTTGGGAGATTCTGTAGAGAAATTGAGAAGGTTGTTAGACAAATTTGGGATAGTATGTAAAAGAAGGAAATTAACAGTGAACATAAAGAACAAGATGGTTAAAATAACAAAACATGATGGTAATTAAAGATTGGATATCAGATTGGAGGGAGGGAGTAAATGTGTTTGGTTATTTAGGAGTGGATTTTTTGGTAGATGTGTCTATGATAGAGGTGAATCATAGAATTGACAAAGAGAACCTTATCAGTGGTGGTAAAAATACCCACCAATGAAGAAGACAAGAAAGGCAAAGATAAAAATATTGAAGACACATGAAATGGAAAGAGAGGAAGTGGCAAAGGTTAGATCAAGTCACGGGTGTTTTGAAATTTAGTGCATTTAACAACATAACAGGAAAGGAAGGCATCTACAAGAACAAAACCAGAACTAAAATTCATGTTAGGATGTTATAAGAGATATTTCAGCAAAACTGCTCATTTGAAGGCAAGAAGAAGGGTAGGTAGTTTAAGCAGGGGACCCATTATTAGGATGGCTGTGATGTCTCTTTGTGACAGACTAAGTACACAAAGGATGTGTTACCCTCGCGACACCAACAATGCTTTTTTCAGACAATGCCAGAGATCATGACTAATATATGTATTTTCAACATTATATTTTTAACAGTATATTAAATTTTACCCCACAGATAAGACCCGTACTCTACTGATGGTAATTTAGTCTTCGTTTGGAACTCCCGGATCAAACTTTCCGGTTAGGTAGCCAATAGTCTCATTACTTGACTTTCCTTTCATTTCCCTTCCCCACTGCACCGTATTCGGGAGTTATATCTTCAAAGTTTCCTCTACTGAAGCCTGGTTCACTGTGCCTTCCACCTTACCTCAGTGTTTAGTTCCACAAGCAACTTGAAATTCAGTAATGTATAGTTGGTAGCACCCAGGGGGATGTCGAGCTCTATTTCTCGTATGTCAGATGTACTTGCAATAAATACTGGATCCAGTCTTGCTGGATGATCTCTCTCACTTGTTATGTCACTAACTCACAAATAAATTTTTTTCCGAACCACCCCCATCATTTTAGTCCACCGCACTTCCGGTTCTCCAAGTGTGTCAGAGGTCTTTCAATCAATTTATTTTTTGCTAGAATTCACTTATTATTAGCTGCTGAGCTTTACCCATATGAGCTCTCCCGGCTGCTTCTGCGGTGGTGTCATTCATTGCTTTGTTGAGGTCTTCATTTTTCCTTTTTCTGTTATCTACACTTTGATGATGAGTTGTGGTTCACCGTACAAAAGTCATGACTGTGCCCATTATACAGTCTTCTGACTCATACCTGGTAATTCCTCTCATCTCTTCAAAGTTCTGCTGATTTCATTACCTATAGCAGTGTCACTCCTGTTTTCCTATTTCCTGTATCTTTCATTATTACTTGAAATCCTGTTATTTCTCGTAGTCTAGTCTTTGTGAAAGCTATTATCCCTGGGATTGTCTTTGTTATTCTTTCTTTCAATTCATAATATTTTTTGATAATTCATCTTTCCTTATGCTCTTTCTGGATCCCTCTGCTTCTTGTTAATCTTTCGTTGTTTCTGCACATCCCTCATTTTTCCCATGGTCTCCAACTGTTTCATTTCCTCTTCCAATCTTTGGATTCCTTCTTCATTATGTTATTTTTTTCCTATTGTGCGACATCTGTTATTGATTTATTGCACTTTTCCACAGTTTTCTTCTGGAGGTGAACTTTCTCCTTCCACATTCTGTTTGTTCTTCAGCCTAACTATTATCGTATTTAGATAATGCCACCTATTGCCTTTACACTCCTCTTCCCATTATTTTAATTTTTCTCTGATTTAACATTTTCTTGCATGCATTAAGGAGGAGCCATTTTTTCGCAACAGCTAATTAAGCTGTGTCTGTTTTGTCTTAACTCATGAACGAGAGCCGAGATGATTGACTGGAGTGTGCTGTTTACCAGTTGATCCCTTGTTTGTGTGTCCTCTCTTTGGGACATCACTGTCCTCCAGTGTCGTTAGGCCGTTTTTCCCTTAATCTTTCTTCGTAGGACATTCCCCTTAGCTCTGGAGCTAATCATGTCGCAAACCTTTGCACTTTCTCTAATTTCTTGACGTGCTTGACTAGGTGTGGGTTTCAAACTGGTACTTCATACTCCAGTATGGACCTGACGTACACGGTGTACAGTGTCCTGAACGATTCCTTACTAAGGCATCAGAACGCTGTTCTCAGGTTTGAAAGGCGCCTCTATGCTGCAGCAGTTATCTAGTTGATGTGTTATGCTCACCCCTAGATCTTTCTCCTTGAGTGAGATTTGCAGTCTTTGTCCACCTAGCCTATACTCTGTCTGCGGTCTTCTTTGCCCTTACCCGATCTTCATGACTTTGCATTTGGTGGGGTTACATTCGAGAAGCCAGTTAAACCATACCCCCGGCCGGGATTGAACCCGCGGTCATAGAGTCTCAAAACTCCAGCCCGTCGCGTTAGCCACTAGACCAGCTAGCCACAATAAGATTCATCCAACTAGGTATATTTCTACACCATAGGAAAGTTAGCACAGGCACCTCTGTAACCACAAATGCAAGTTTTTACAGACGAATCTCCAGCTAGCGTGGCCGTGACGAACTCTAGCTCAAGTCCCTTCACTGCCGTCAACATGACTCAAGAAATCGTAATGACACGATTGCAAATAAACCATACCCCCGGTCACAGAGGTGCCTGTGCTAACTTTCCTATGGTGTAGAAATATACCTAGTTGGATGAATCTTATTGTGGCTAGCTGGTCTAGTGGCTAACGCGACGGGCTGGAGTTTTGAGA